TTGATCTATTCTTTCCTCTTTTCTTACAATTGAGTTATACCTCTTATCTTTTTTTTTTAAAATCCTCCCCTTAAGAATTTAATTTATTTGATTTTCTCCACACATTTAACCATCTCTTCTATTTTTTGTAAAGGTTTATTCTTGAGTTTTACAAGAGAAGCTATAGCCTAAGAACACACATGGAGATGAGTGAAAATCCAACTTATGAGCATGATATGGATGCAAAAATGGAAAGCAAAGACACCTAAAGGTACGCAAGAAATCATAATCAGGAGTACGATTAAATAAACACTTAAATGGGGATTGATTTTAAGAACAAGAATAGGTATACGATTGATAAGATACACCAAGGATTCAAAAGTATAATTCCAAAACCCTAATAGGACATTACATTATACTAGGAGGGTAAGGCTAGTTTTGACAATATATCAGTGCTGACATTCAATAGTGCCATTTTGCTCATGAGAATGAGAACAAATTAAATGGTAATGAATGATAGAAACTGTTTAACTTGTGATATTCATCACCCAAATCAGTTTGAACATATTTAATTTTTCATGAAAACTAACGCTCAACAAGAATTTGAAAAAGGAGGAAATAGAAAATACATCGAATTTCATAATAAGAGGATAATACCATATATGTTTCATATGCACATTAAAAAAAATAAAAATAAAAAGTAATGAAAACCATTAGAGGAAAAAATAGGAGCAGGGCTCCAAACATCACTAAAGATTAAATCAAGTGGAGCAATAGTTTGTGACCTGTAGGTTTTAACAACAGACGTGAAGACTTGCCTAATAAATAAGCTTGACATTGAACAAGAGAACATCTAGAGGTACAAGCTATTTTATTTTTGGAAACTAAAAAATTAAAAACATGGGAAATAGAATGACTCAATCGACGATGCTACATATAAGCAAACATAAAGACGTAAGAAGACTAGTAAACATAAGGGATTGTATGGTAGAAGACTCAAACAAAACACATAAACCATTGTTACTCTGACCAGAAATGAGTATTGTCTTGGTGATGTGATCTTTTACATACAACACAGAAGCATGAAATTCAAAATAGACATTATAATCACGATAAAATTTTTGAATATAAAATAAAGGTTTTGTAATATGAGGCACATGAAGAAAATAGATAAGGTAAAAGTGTGTTTTGGGGGTATGTAACATGGTATGTCTAATATTGGATATGGAAAGGCCTTTATCATCACCAACATGTAAATGATCATTACTAAGATAGGGTTCAAACCCAATCAAAGTCACAAGATCAGATGTAACGTGTTAATTTACTCTAGTGTTCGAGAACCAATCCACAATGTTAGGAGAAGAGTCATTACCAAAAACAAGATTGGCAATCAACTATTGTCCATGGCTATGAAGCTGAGAGCATTAAGGGATTGTATGGCTAAAGAAGTAGAGCTGGCACTTGACATGATTCCCAAAGGAGCAGTTAAGGGACAACTATGAAGGACCAGTATTCCTTCTATTTCGTTGTCAATTGCCCTGCTTCTAGTCATTGTTAGTACCTGAAAACCATCAAAATCAGACTTCTGTTGGTGGTTATTGTCATAACTCATTTTTGAGTTATTCCCCAAATGTGTTTTAATCACTGTTAAAAAAAAAATAGCAGGACATGGTGCCGTTTTAAACGGCACTATGCATGTTCTCCTTCCCTGTGCATGTAGAAGTAGTGAAGAAGAAGATTTTAAATCTCCTTTTCCTGGTCAATTTCTCTACCACCCCACTTGCCTAAAAAACCTGACACTACCCATACCCACAATACCCTGCCACCATGATGAAGTAAGAGGAAGGCCATGCCCTGCAGCGGCTGCATAGGAGCCATCCCACACCACCATGCCCTACATTTAGATAGGGTATGGTGAACCTCTCCCTCGATTGCCTATAAATATGGGGGAAAAGAAGAATTGAAAGGGGAGGGAAGGTTTTGAAAAGAGAAAAGAGGGGAACATTTGAAAACAGAGAAGGAATGAGAGATTTGAGAAAGAACTGGAGAGTAGAAAAAAAAACTAAGGGAAGGAAAGAGTTTTTTGAAAACAAAACACAGAGAGGAATAAAGAAAAGGAAGGGGAAGATGGAGAAGATTTAAAAACAAGGAGTTTCTTTTAAAACAAGGGAAGAACACCCATTGGTGGCCATCGTTTTTCTCCTTACCATGAACCGCTGCCATTCTTCATCACTACCACAACTAGCACTACCAGCGCCATTGTCATTCTTCCTCAGCCTCTCACCATCTTCCTCCCCCTGCTACAATGCCCGTGAAGAAGAAGAAGAAGTTGGCACCTCTACATCAAATGGAAAAAATAGTAGCAGAAACTGCCCGCCATCACAAAGAAGAGCCACCATCACTCCACCACTATGAGCCACTGTCGCTCCGCCAACAACAGCAGCAACCATTAGAAATAGAAAAAGAAAGGAGAAGCAGGAGACCGAAGTAAGGAGAAGAAGAAACATAGAAAAAACAAAAATAGAGGAGAACAGAGTAGAAGAAAAAAACACGGAGATGAAGAAGAAAGGCCGATGACCGTCCAAATCTTTCTCTAGTCAGAAACCGCTAGTAGCACCGCCTTGAAGCCACAACAGGTTCACCCCACTTTCTTCTTCGTCTTCTTCTTCTTCTTCGCTGCACCGTCTCCACTGTTCACGTAGCATGTGAATAGTAGAGAGTGTTTCACTGTTCACTAGGCCGGATAAGTCTGGCCTAGCCCAAAATGAGTGGGCCACATCCAGCCTAGTAAAAAAAATTGTGATTTTCCCATGTATTTTTCTATTGAATTTTGCTTAATATTGTTTTATATTTTTATTGTAAAAATACAAATCTAGTATTAAAATATATAGTTTTCATCGAAACATAAAAAAGAAGACATGTCTTTGTTTTCATACATACGATCAAGTCTCTAAAAGCAAAACAAAATCATATTATATTTTCATACAACAAAGAAAACTTCAAAAAAATATGTTTTAGCATGCATTTTGGCTTTAATAACTAGTTTATTAAAGTTACGAGAACTTGGCCAATATTTCAAAAAAATCTAAAAAATAATTTTTTTCTTTTAATATCAGGGATTACGAATTTATACGTAAAACATATTCTCGATATTAAAAAGGTAGTTCTTTTGTTGACATTAGGATGGTTATGTTTTACTTGATAAGATAAGGATCTTCTTACCGAGGAGGACTTTTCTTAAACCATAAACATACCAACAATTAGAAATATGATACAACTGTAGCATATATCAAATAATAAAACAATGCAACTTACCTTAGGTAGGGCATATTTGGGGTGCTAATACCTTCTGTTTATGTAACCAGTCTTCGTGCCTGATCTTTGAGACTAGTTAGGATTCCTAGTGACCAAAATACTAGGTGGCAACTTCCATTCCATTTCCACTGATAAAAGACAAGAATTCCTTGTCTCTCATATTTTCTAGATACAATACATATGAGTATGGAGGATGATCGCCATGACACTGCATACGTGCGAAAATTATTGTGGTTGCTATTGGAACCCCAACTGCCATGAAAACATCCTCTATTACGGCTGAAATTGGGATTGTTGTTATAGGTGGCAGAGGATTGATGCTGGGCAACATTCGCTAAGGGTGGCATGGGTAGCAAAGGAGGATTGACAACCATGGATTGAAGGGAGGTCTTGTGAAGGAATTCAGGAGCAAGGAGATTGCTATAGAGATCTGCATATGAAAGAGGTTTTGTCTTGGTTGTAAAGCTGGTTACCAAGTCTTTGAACTCACCATGAAGACCACGAAACACATATAAATTGAAATCTTCAAGAGAGATTGGTCGACTAGTAACGACTAACTCATCAAATAATGATTTTTCCTTCTGCATATATATAGCAACCGAAGCATCATCTTACCGAAGATCTTAAAAGGACCAAGAAGTTGCACAATGCAAGAATTAGATAGGGAGAGCTTGTTCAATAGTACGTCAAACACAATAAAAGGTCTAACAATCGACAACAAGATGCAGTATATCCATTGAATGTGAAGAAATTAATGCACTCAAAATAAGTTGATCTTATTGCTTCTAACGAAGAAATTAATGCACTCAAAATTATTATTTTATTTCATTTAATGTTTGTATCAGATTTCATCCTCATTTTTTTTTTATTTCTATTAGTTTTTGTTTTTTAATTTTGGATGATTGGAAATTTTTCTTCATGATTTTTTTAGGTTTGTATTATTAGGGTAACCTGGTCTCGTGACCCGGGTCACGGGTTTCAAAAATTAGCTCAATTTGACTTTGATGTTTTTTTAGGTTCTTTAAAAAAAAAAAAAACTTTTTTAGTTTCATCATTCGACATTAGGTTATTGGGCCTTTAGCTTTGTGATTTTTGTCACTTTTTTCTATAGGTTATCAAAATCTCATATCTCGAGTCAGAGGTTAGTCGAGTTAATCCGGGTTACTTGGGTTTTTCTTGACATTTTTTCTTGATTTATGTTCAGTTTCGTCTTTTATTATTTAGTTTACTTGAGAGTTAACTTGTTTTATTCAAATTTTTTTATATGTGGTTATTTCGACCTCACAAGCAGGCAATGAGTTTGTGATGCTAACTAGAGTTAGGATTTTTATTCTTTTTAAAATTGATTTTTTTTCAATTCGTCCTTCAACATTTGATTTGCTAGTAATTGAGTTTTATTTTTTAATTTTTATAAAGTTATTTCATTCTCATTTAATTTTTATTTTGTTATTGAATAAGATTATTAAGACTTTTTAAGAATATTTAAAGAGTATTTTTTATTATATTGTCAAGCGTTAATTTTTTTTGTTAGTCATTGTGTTGTTTTTTTTGTTTTTTTATTGTCATCAGCCTTTTTTTATAATTATATTATTAAATCAACCAAGTTTATTGAATCTATTCAAATCCTAAATTTCTCTTATTTTTTTTAAATATTATCATTGCTTTAGCTTTATTTTGTTTTTATGTTTGAAAAAACTTAAGCCATGTCATGTCATATAGCAAGCCACATATCCAATGCATATTACCTGCTATCATATCCACATTTTTATTTAAAGCATTGTTATTAAATTTGGCAATATCGAGCATGTTAATCTAGTGGCCTATTGATCAGAGATCTGATTTGTGCTAGTGTTAAATTAAACGAGTATTTTAAGTTAAAACTGAGACAACAATTTGTCCCAGCGGAACCCAAGAGCAAAATGTCACCTGAAGCATGGGGAGTGAGGTCATAGTGGAGCTCCAAAGAAACTAAACCAACGCCAACGTTGTGGGAGAGATTGTGAAGATAGAAAGAAAGATCTCCCCGAAACATGAATCACTTGCTAGATCATTTGATGAAGAGCTTAGAAAGAAGAATTCAGGGCTTCTATATACTGAACGAAATGGAGAAGTTGCTGGCTATTCCTGGCCCTCTTCTTTGTGTGCTTCTATCACAAAACTTGCAGGTTTCAATACCCATGACTTATTTCTTCCTCTCTTTTAATTGTTTTTCGGTTATGTTTTATTCTTTTTGCTGTTTAACAAACCCATAACCTGTTTGATGAAAGTACTCAAAGAGCCATGGTTTCCTTTTCTCTGAATAGAGTGATTGATTAGGCAAAACCCACTAAAAACCATTTAGTATAATTTCTTTTTCTTGTTATCTGATTGGCCAGGACTTGATTTCTTATATGGGTGTTTTTCTTTGTAAATGGCAAGTATAAAACAGTGAAGGAGAACTATAGAAGTCAATGCCATGGAGAGGCATTGCTTAAAGCAGCAATTGAGAAACGCAAAAACAGAAAGGATGTTGTAGCCCAATGAATAATAGGGTTTCAGTTTTCCTGCTCTTTTATTTAGCTTTAGCTTGAATGCTTAGATGTCTCGGGTGCTTATTTGTGTGATGCTATGGGCTGAGCACCTGCTTCCCGAATGATTTCTCCCTCCTTTCAATAATGAAATTTCTTGTGATTAAAAGTTTTTTAACCCCGAAACAATTTTTTTACTGTTTATGCTTAATTTAATGTGTAATTTTAATTTTTTGAATTAATGCGTTCACTATCACTCTACATTACTAAAAGAACTTTCTTTGTGTAAATATAAATATTCTTCATGTAAATATCAATAGTGAAGGAGATTTTTTTTATTTCTATCTTTTTATTATTTTTTTTTAGTTTTTTCAATTTAATTTTATTCTTTAATATTATATTAATTTTAAATCGAACTTAATAATTTATTTCAATTTTTTAATTAAATTATTACAATTTCAAATGAACATTTTAATATTTAAATATTTAGTTAGTGCCTAATTTTATAAATATTTATTTTTATTATCATATTATTAAAAAAAATAGTTATAAAAAAATATTATTAAATCTAATGAAATCCATGATTCAGGTTGCAGGTTGCAGATCGTTAAGTTATGATTAAATCTAATGAAATCCATGATTCAGGTGTTGCAGATCGTTAAGTTATAAAACTCGAGTTAATTCAATATATCATTATTTTAATATTAAAAAAAATATTTTTAAAATTTTTTAAACTCAAACTATATTTTTTATAAGTTATTTGAATTGTTTTTGAAGTATTATATCATAACAAGGCAACTTCTATGCTTATTATTGCAAACCAAGTTAACCATAAAAATATCATGGATTAAATTTGGAAACGTAAATCAAACTCTTAAAAACCTCTAATTATAACAAAATTAAGTGAAAGACACAGAAGAAAATAAGAAATTGCAGATTGAATTCTGCAATACAAATTAAACTCTTACAAAACCCTCATTTTGACAAAATAAGAAAGTCTCGTATGCATGACAAAATAAGAAATTGCGGTTTTAATTGATTGGAGTCTCATGCCACACAAGCCACTCACAAATTGCCGATAATTTTCACATTATTTGATAAACTATGTTATTTTTTAAAATAAGATTTGAAGTATATTGTTTCTTCTATTTTTTTCTATTAGGCTTCTTTGAAAAAGAAAAAAAACTCAAAGCATGCTGTTTATGGTAGCCTTTTTCTGTGTAGTGCTGTGGACTGCGTTATCCATCATGCATTGTCACCATGGTTTTCTTAATTATTTATCACTTACTTCATCTCATTCATCATGTCAAAAAACAAAAAACACCAGAAAATCCATCACGTATTTCAAAATATTTTTAAAGTTTTTTTAATTTTAAAAATATTAAATTAATATTTTTTATTTTTTAAAATTTATTTTTAATATTAATATATCGCTTTAAAAATATTAAAAATTTTAATTTAAAATAAAAAATTCAAATTAAAAAAATAATTAAAACACACTTTCAAACACTAACTTTAGTTCATGCGATCCACCCTCACTTGTATTTTTTACCTAAATATTTCAAGCAGGAAAACATTATAAAATGTTTATAAGAAAGTCTTGCATTTTTTACGCCACAAAAAATTAGATTATGTAAAGGAGGAAAACATTATAAAATGTTGCTGCCCAGGATCGAACTGGGGACCTTTAGTGTGTAAGACTAACGTGATAACCACTACACCACAGCAACTTTGCTATTACAGCGGTAACATGTATTTATATATTTATAATACATTTTGAGATTTTTCCGTAAAACACGGAAAGAAACCTTAGCAACCACGATCGAAATTAAAACCTTAAAGACACACAAACACAAAAAAAAAAAAAACAAAAAAAAAGTCAACGAAAATTATTTGATTTATCAAGTATTTGAGGCCCCCAAGATTTCAAAAATCTCGGGGCTTTCTTATTTTCTTTTTTAATTTGGTGAAATCAGTCAGTTTGTTTTGGGGTTTTAGCAGTAATTGAAAAAAGGAAAGGAAAAATGGTGAGTGTAATGAGGAGTTGCATACAGTCAATATTGAAGTTAGTGAATTGTTTGATAGGAATGGTTGGTATAGCAATGGTGTTGTATTCAATTTGGCTTATTAGAGTGTGGGAAAGAGAAATGGGTGGTTTTCCATTTTTTGAAGATGATGATGACTTTACTCCATGGTAAGCTTTTCTTTCATGTTTCTTTTTTTAAGGTTTTTGGTTTTGATGTTTTTTTTTTGTTCGTGGGTTAGTGTTAGAATTGGAAAGTGTATTTGAATTTTAGGATTGGTTTGTTTGATGTTTTGACGGGTGTTGTTATTTTGTGTTAGCCTTACGTGCATGTTTGATTGGTGGATTTTGTGTTAATTGGATACTGTTTGGGTGGAGGGAAGGCTGGAAAAAGGAGAGCTTTAGAAAGTTGAGGATTGAATTTCTGTTGTTTGGAAAGAGAGGAGCCTGGCTTTGATTTTCTTTTATTGTTAGTAAACTTATGGGGGGCCTCATCGGTTTTGCTTGTGAGTTGTGAGTTTTCCTCATCGGTTTTGCTTGTGAGTTGTGAGTGAAACATCATCAAGGCAGAATTCTGTTAATATTTGCCGCTTCTTTACTCCCCCGATTTTTGAAGTGCATATGTGTATTAAATTTGAAAAGGAAGTTCGCTTCTAGTTAATGGAGGATGGGTGCTGATCTTTTCAAGCGGGTCAAATATCTTTACAACCTTTTGGATTGTCATTCGTGTACCATTTCTATTTGCTTTTTACATTTTCATTAAGTTGCTGACAACCAATGAAAAGGATGGAATTGAAATTTGGAAGATTTTGGTCATCCTATTTTGCTTGTTATGGCAGCAAACTTGCATCTCTTTAGTTAAGTACTCATTATAATGGAGGTTCTTAATTCTTAATTGCCAAAGGTACTGCAAAAAAAATTTTCACTACTTTTCCCACTATGTTATGGACAATCAAGAAGAGCTTTCTTTTCATGGCTTTTATAGAGTTCTTACAAATTTTGTAATTCTAAAGTTAAATCCATGCTCTGATTTGTATTATATGACTATTAAAAATGACAAAATTGTGTTGTTGATGGAGCTGTTTCATTGAATGGGAATAAAATAATTGATTTTGGTTGGCAATGGATTATTAATTTGTGATGATAGAGCTTATTAACTCATTCTCAGTATATGAATGGTGTGTGGTTGTTGATGTCCTTAAAGCAATATATCCATAAATTGCAGGTTCATTTACACATTTCTTGGCCTAGGTATCACTTTGTCCGTGATCACATGCTTTGGTCATATTGCTGCTGAAACTGCCAATGGTTGCTGCCTTTATCTAGTATCCTCTTATCGAGTCGATTAAATGAGTTTCTATATTCCCTGGTTTATTATTCTCCTAATTTGATTGTGCTAATAAATATTGGTTTGTAGTCCCATATATTACATTTTAGCATTCGATCAGCATCTTAATTTCAGTTTGACATTAATTGAACTCCCTCTTAGATTTAATTTTACCTTTGGTGAATAATATTATGAACTCAGAAAAACCAGTTCTGTTTCTATGATTTTTCATTCCTTCTTGAGAAACATGAGTTTTAGTTCATTGGAGCTTTAGTTTCTTAGAATGCATGAGTTTTTTGGCCAATTTTGACCTTAACCAGGATTCAGTATATGTTATTTATATTCTTACTCCTCATGCTGGAAGCTGGAGTTACTGCTGATGTATTTTTAAACCGTGACTGGGAAGAGGCATGTTCTTTGATCAAAAACTCATTATTTGATTCTCATTTTATGGTTTTTATATTACAAGTTACCACAAATCCTTACTGACAATTTATATGGTTATCGTTCTATTTTATCCGAGGCAGCAGGACTTCCCAAAAGACCCAAGTGGGAGTTCTGATCAGTTCACAGGTTTTGTTAGATCAAACTTTGAGCTCTGCAAATGGATAGGCTTATCAATTGTGTCTGTTCAGGTGTCTCTCTCCCTCTCCCTCTCCCTCTCTCTCATAATCCCTGCATCTCATTGACAAGGTGGTGAGAGTGAAGTGTGATAATTGACTCATTTGAGTATTACAAATGATTGCATTTACATGTAAAGTTGCAGATAAATTAATTATAGACTATCAATCAGTCCCCTGTGTACAAAACCACTGTTAGCTGTTCCAAGATTCCATGGCTTGATCAAATTGCATAGTGATGTGTTTCCTCTTGGTTCATTTGTTTGATTGGTATCTCACTGTACTCTGTTTTAACAATTCCCTGGATGACTCAAGTTTTTAAATTAAGCAGCAATATTGTTTTCCATGTTAAAAATGAAAATTTAACATGTGCCATGTGGATACACTTTAGGGTTTGCAAGTCTTGGTTTATTAATTTTCATTGTATTCACATAGGAATTAAGATGGAAGTTTTGTTTGTAAGTCTTTTTTTCATAATCAATTTGTGAATCACCAATGCGTTCAAATTTGCAGGGACTGTCTTTTCTAGTGGCAATGATGCTCAAGGCTATTGGGCCCCATCCATCTTATGACAGTGATGATGATTATGCTTCAGATAGGGCTCCACTTCTGAAGGATGTTGTTCATCCACCTCCCTATGTTGTTGGTAACCCTGTCATGGGATCCAGAAATAATGCATGGAGTATAAGGATTACCAAGAAGGTAGGGAATAGGGATAACTTATTATTCCAGCATTCATATTCTCACTACGGTCAACCTCCTTTATGTACCATTCTCCCCATTCACGGTCCTTTAGTTCCTCCAACTTAATTGGTCTCTTGTTCATACTAGGATGGTCATTAGTCTGCATTGCAAATAAGAAACTCATCTCAGCAAACTTCATTTAATTTTTAGCATATATTGGCTATAAAGTCATAGTTATCCTGCCAAAACTCTACTGTCTCGTGACTAGTAATTCAAGCAGTGTTTGTGGTTTCACAAAACCCCGTTCATGCGTACTGGCTGACCTCTGCTATATATATAAACTTCATCTGCTCCATCAAGTTTTCTTCAAATTTGCATACAGACCCTTTTTATCTCTACCTCTTTTTTTCTGGTCCAGGTGATGAGTTTAATCACAAATTGTTTCCAGATAATAATAATAATAATAATAATAATAATAATAATAATAATAATAATAATAATAATAATAATAATAATAATAATAATATTAGTTAAGACTTAAGAAGAATATTTAAGCTACTATTTTCCTTGTTTCCCTTATTTTTTGGGTCAACTCATAGATATTAATTTTCTCCTCAAAATCATGTGGATTCCTGACCATAACACAGCTGCTGGCTGCTCATTATTGATCAGGTGGCTGCATAATTCTCTTGAAATAATACACACACACAATTCCTTACTTGGGTTTGCCATTCAATTTTGTATATATATATTTTTTATTTTCAAATGTCTTATCCTTTGGTGTCAATTCATTCTTTTTCTGTTATTAAATGTTTCGACGCATGCATGAAGAAGAAGTTCTAAAAAATGAAAGGCCTGAAATTTTATCAGCAATCTCTGTATTATCTTTTTTATTAATGGTCTGTGTTCTTTCCCCTCCGAGATTAGATGAATCAGGCAAACAGGTGATAGCTTTCCACAAGGCCAGGAAGTGAAATGTCACTAGTCACAACCATCTTATATCATCTGATGTCCAACAGCTTGTACAAGTGATAAAGGTTTCAAGATGGAGAAGGGCTTCTTAGCAGTTCAGTGTTTTTGGATGTGCAGTCGGTACGTATGGGATTTTGTCTACTTTTGTACCCAACCTTGTAGCATTAACACCATATTGAATGTAACAAAAACTCACTTTCAATTGATGAATTCCTTCTTGTTTAATAGCATTCACCACATGATGTTGCTGGTGTTGTCAATCAATTCCCAGAAGAGTTGGAAACTGATGTGCTAGCACTATTTCCCATGACTTTAGCCTAAGCACTATTTCCCACTACTGCTTACGAACTTGCAGGTGTGACAGGGCATCAAAGATATTTTTATTCACATCTTAATCATCCGAAAGCCATGTTCTTGTTTGATTACAAATCTTTACATTAATTCTAAATGAAGACCAAGAACAGACTAATAATGGAGCGTTCATGTCAGAGTGTCATATGCCAACAAACTCATCTAAAAAACTTCAACTTTAACCTAAGAACACCCTAGCATGAAGCTCATACAACCCATAGAAAGCCTTTACGGTTAAACACAAGTAGCCTTTACAACTTCACCAAAACACAAGTGCAAAGCCGAAAACAAAATAAAGAAAGTAGAATAAGCTTTTCTTTCACAAGCCTTTTGCCCTTCCTGGATACTTGTATCATGGACACCGCTGCTATATCAATATTCAATGTGCTAATTGGTCACAATATATTAATCGATGACAGATTGTGCTATGAGCTGAAAGGATTCACAAGAGATTTTTCTCAACCGCCAAGATAATCTTACTATCTTCTGTCAACTTCGAAGCACTCCATTAACATGCTGTCATGGGTGTTAGTGTGTTTTACTGTATACTATTTTCTAGACAATTTATGATACAATTTTTGCATATAACAAGGTACATGACCATAATTAGCCGAGGCCTTAATGGGTTCCTCAGGTTTTTATTAGAAGTAATGAATTGCAGAACAATTTTTATTATTATTATTATTAAAAGTAATATTTTATTTGAACAAACTGTATTCTCGGCTCCAACAGATCATGCAAAATAAAACTTTGTAACATGGCTCGTGAGCCACAATTATGCGGTCACGCTATAAATTAAATATTCAATCATTTTTTAAAACTTGATTACCTATTAAAAAAAATTATTTGTCATGTTATCTCTTATAAGAACAATTTTTCAAATACTAAGCTTGTCTTCATGAACGTTTTTTCTTCTTTTTTTCCTCATCCATGTATATATATATATATATATATATATATATATGGATTCAACAAATTAAGAAAGAAGGGGTGTACAAATTTATTTTTTTTCTCCTTTTTATATAAGGGAATCCATGTGCTTTGTGTATGTAGGATCCTCAAGTGAGAGTGATAAAATGGTTGAAAGAATGGTTTTTATAGTAAAAGACTATTCATCAAATCGTCTTCTAAGAGCACGAAACCCTTGATTTGTTCGATGCACTTTTTTAAGGCCTTATAATGCATGAGTTTGGATGCCCACTTCCAACTTCTTGACAGGATCATCTATGTTTAAATATATTATCATGAGAATTTAAGCATGTGCCATCATCTATATCATGTATGTAAATATACAGGAGGATAAATTATTTATCTAATATTAACTATGACTGCTAATTAATGTATTATATTTTCCACCTTCATCCCATTTTGTTTAATGGTAGTGATTAAGTCATATGCATCGTTCATTAATTATAAAATAAATCATATGCATGATGGTTTTATAAATCCCTAATTATTGACATTCATGGGTTTTTTTTAGAGATAATTAAAATGACAAAGGAATTGTGGCTGTATAAATTAAATTATTGTCAGCCATATATCCTCCCTGAGGAGGAATTATTAGGGTTTTTTTTCTCTTCAAATTAAGACTCTTTGCCAAATTCTACATTAAAATATCTGTTAATTACCTTTGTACTTTTAGTCTCCTTCAATTAAAACTGCTTACATAATATTATCAAACTCCATGCAATGTTATTAAAATAGATTATATATATATATTCTTCAGCCTGCTAACAAGTTGCCACTTGTGGTGTTCATGGTTGTGGACAAACAACATTTTTTTTTTATATAAATCCCTCTTCGAAATCTGTGGAGATGAAACTCTTCCAACTTTTTTTTTTTTTAAATTTGGAGTTTCCCTCATAGCCAGCATCATCTTCCAGAATTTTTGGGCATTGGATCATGTCACAGATTCCCATTACTCAGAAGAACGAACAAAAGAGAAACAATTTTATTTTATTTTATTTTTAAATTTTGATGGAAGCCGCCTCTCTCGTCACCCACAAGGCCACGTACGCCCTTTGTTTCTATTGATTTTCTTAACTATTGTTGCATAATCCACTAATCAGCAACAATATTATTGGTGGAGATAATGCCATAACTGGTCTCTTAGTTTATATGAAAAATATTAATAATATGATTTTGCAGGCCGTGTTTGTAACTATATAAATTGGAATTTAATTTAGTTGCCCGAATTCAAGTCATGTCTTACATCATGAAGTATTAATTACAAAAATAATTAAAACTCTTTTATTGGGTCGATC